TTATTTTTTCCCAAAATCAAAATACATTTTAAACAATAACATAAAACAATATCAAAAACTTTCATACATACATTTAAAATATTTTAAATAATAAATACAAATAAAATTATTAAAACATTGGCCACATATTTAATATTTTAAATTATCAAAAATAAATAATAATGTACATAATGAAATAAATGGGGCGGGTTTTGGGGTAGGTACTAGTGTCCCCATTACCCGACCCGTCCCCATATTTTATAATCGGGGAAAACTTGAACCCAAACCCAGTCAAAGCGGGTTTTCCGTGTCATCTTCGGAGTGGGTTCGGATGAGTAACCATGGATACGAGTTTTGTTTCTATGCCTCCGACCGTCCTAACAACACCATTGGACCGGAGTCCTAACATATGCCATGAGTGCATGATGCGAAACAACATAATACAACATGACCACGACTATTCAAAATGCATCATCATTCATGAATTCATCATAATATCATCACATATTTCATCATACACACATCCTTGTAAGAACGTTAATTCATCATAGAACACAAGTCAAGTTACAACAAGACATGGTTACATAAATTCATAATAGAAATCATACATATTATTATATAAACACATAATCTCATTATCTCATCATAACATGATCACTAGAAAACTATGTCATATGATTCACTTTATTTCACCCAAGTATATCTCATCGTGTTAGCTACCCAACACTTCGAACGACACGTCCAACAGAGTCCAGAAACTCAAGTTATGGGTTTACAAAATTATGACCTCTGCCCCTCGCCTGAGGCTCGCCCGAAGAATCTGTTCGCTTTCCTGAGGCTCGCCTAGCGAGGCTAGGGCAACAACCCACCCCCCATACAAAATTCCAAGAGCACTGTTCTTTCTTCTTTTCCTTCGCCCGACGACCCTACTCGCTCGCCTGACAAAGCAGAAGCGAGATATCGTCCTTCATACAAATGTGCAGGGGCTCTGTTTTCTCCCTCTTCCCTTCACCTCCTTGCTCACCTAGTGCTGCTTGGGAGAAGTGCCTTTGCACGAAGAAGCATACGACTTGCCCGATGAGGCAACGCAAATAGGAACTTTCTTATGCGTTTTTTGCGCTCCACCAGTCCTAATTTCTGCACGGTTTCACATCCAAACAAACCTAAAACTCATACAAATCACATATTTCCATCATACAACAACAACACATCATAATACACATTTCATACATCGATTTATGGCATCATTAGCATCAAGTTTTCACAATTTCATCAAGGGTTCATCAGATAATCAAACCATCACAAAAAACCCAATTACATACTGATCAGTAAAATAGTAAGTGTACTACTTTTGTCAATGTAGTAATAGTAGGAAATTTCTCGAATATCGATCTCGAGGACTGCGACAAAATATCGAGTTTGTTTTAGTTCAATTAAACAAAAACTTATGGTATTTAGAATCTTGAATTTAACATAACTTCCAAAGAAATTACTAATATATGCAGATGAAATAAACTAAAAAGAGTGGTATGCTAGGGTCAGTGTCTGAATCAATCATGTAACAAATATGATCATATCTTGCAACAACTGGTCTGAATAATTGAATTTTGGTCCTTGTGAGTTATTATTCCTTAGTCCTTAGAAAATAAGTCTTTAATCCTTCAACCTAATTACTATGTCCATAGGAAATTACAGTTGAAATTAAGTTTTCCAATATTAAGAATATTCCGATTATTGAAGGATATCCCTAGTCCTAGGTAATATCTACTTTAATATGTTCTCAAACAAATCACGAACAATAGCTTGTCCGGCTTAATTGTATCTCATAAATCAATTTCTATTTGTCTGGCAGAAAAAGCAATAAGAACGGTAAGAGAACAAATAAATTTGAAACAAACCAAATGGTCATTGCAAAAGTATAATCTTATTCATTACAGATCAAAATCAGGGTCACCCCCTAACATTGGGGGGTTTAGCTACTCATAAAATTAACAGAAAACACAGTGTTGATTATAGACATTTTAGATTTAATGATGGAAATTAGGTGTTCAATTGCAAGAGCTCATGAAAACCTTCAATCCTAGCATAAAATCTGATTTCTTCAGCCTTCTACAGTGTTCCTTGTCATCTGAAATTAACCAACCCTCAGAAATTCGCACTCTGGAGTTAAATAAGCAGTTTCTGGGCATTCAGCGAAATTGGGCTTCATTATGCATAATGCCCAAGATGATACGTGTAGTTCCATTTTAATGTGCCAAGTATCATATGCGTAGGCCTCTGATCCATTCATCCAGCCAAGCCCTTACGCGTAATTCTTAGAGTGTCACGCATATGGGCAGAATCATGTGGTTTCCACCCTTTTGGTCCTTTGCATATACTACGTGTACGAGAGAGGTCAATACGCGTAATGACTGGGGCATTACGTGTATGACAATAAATTCTTACAATTTTTCACTTTTTCCTATGCTTTCTCTCTTTGGTCTAATTCTGCATCCTGTCCTCGCTCCTCTGAGCTTCCACACATGTATTTGACCTGCTAACATACCAGAAGCGTAAAATATCCTCGAGAAACTCATAATTCATGACATACTAGAACTAACAAAAATAGACCAAAATACTACAAAATATGATCCAATTCGTACAATTCACCTGGATTTTTGTAGATAAAATGATGAAAATTATATCACAAATAGTGAATGATCACAACCCCAAACTTATCTTGTTGCTTGTCCTCAAGTAACATTCTATACCAAACAGATCATGTCACCCAAAACTGACTGTAAAAACAGGACTTACCACAATACTTCTGAAATCTTCCATACTGAACTCTTGATACTACCTTTTGATTTCCTTTGCTATTCACAACCACTTATTCAGAACACTTTCACTTGGAAACACTACTTCACCTGTCATCTTATCACACTCTCGCTAAATCTCTTGGGGTTACAATATTTCCACGCTCAAATCAAAGTAAGCAATATTAGATAAAAAATTTGAGAAATTATCTAATCTTATCAACATGCACAAAGCACACACTTTTTGAGGTCTTAGGGTTGTAACGGGGCTTGGGATGCAGTAGGATATAAAAACAACAAAAAGGGAAATAAGGGGTTATTGGTTCAGAGTAAGTGAGATCATTGTTGTCATTATGTCCAGTCAATTGTGCTTCTGTGGGGAACTTTAGGATCATCTGATGAGTACATTTCTTTCTTTCTCTTTTTTTCCTTCTTTTTATGTTGGAGCTTCCTTTTTCTTCTTCTTAATACTTCCATTTTATTTTGCTCTTCTTACTCACCTCGTTTGAATTCACTTTTAATTACTGCACAACTACCCCAAACTTAAAGGTTGCTATTCCACCAGTAACCCCAAACTTATACTGAACATAGATCTCAAAACAACCACACGTACTCTAGAGAAGGTAGGGAAAACAATTTGGCCTTAGGTTAATAATAGAGGGTATAAATCAAATAATGGGATACAAGCTCAAATGGGTTACACAAAGGATAATAAACATACATGGGATGGCTCAAAAGGCTTTAGGTGATAAAAATCAAAATTCTGCCTCAGTGTGTGTACTCATGCATTTAACAATCATAAAGAACATGCACAAACCATGATAGATAGAGACATATCTGATATTTCTCTCATGATGACCTATGTGTTTGGCTTTTTCTAAACTAACCAGGACTAGTAAAACTGACAGCCTCCATAGTGCCTCGTTGATTAATGTACTTTACACCTGGTCATGACCGGATTGGTCCATCATCAATAGCTCTCAAATACAGTACATCTGATCTTTTTTTTCTTCTTTTTTTTTCTTCCAAAAGTATCAAACAATCAGGGTAACTTCAAGGGAGGACTTTCAAGCACCTTGTGGGAGTGATCAGTATCATCCACTATATCTAGTTACCATGATCAATAAAAAAAAGAACATGTAATTGTACGAATGGAACCAAAAAATTCATTAAAAATATCATAACCCAAAACAGGAACTTAAAACAATAATAAAACAAACAAATAAACAACAAAGTTCACGACTAAGGAAAATACAATCACATCTCACAAAAGAACTAAAATCAGAGCTACTACAATCTAGGTCGTGCAATCTGTGCCTCTAGTGTTTGGCATATCCTGATCATCAACACCAAAATTGATGTCATCAACTTGTCCAAGGAAGGTGGAAATAAGATTCATCACTCCAGTCTGTCTCTGCTGTTGAGGGGTTGTCTACTGCACAGGTCGACTATGTTAATCTGACCATAATGCGGATGCCTGGAGATGCCATTGTGCGACTCTGGTGCATGTCAAAAGAAGCGATCACGGTGTCGCTAAGCTGCTTCCCACATCTCAGTCTGATGTGTCATATGTATTATTGACAACCCAATACTAGCATATTAATCCTTAAAAAAACAAAATAGAATCATACTATTAAGATATGCTAGGGAGTTCTCATCAATGTGAGACTGCACAACATGAGGCTCTGTCTGTGGCATGTTCTGACCCTGTGAAGCACTAGACCTGCCTCATATGGTTGTCGGGGTCTAGAGGCTCCTTGCCTCTCTCCAACAACAATGTGTTCTTTAAGACGAGTAGGATCTAACGATCGTGCTGGTATGATCATCTGACCACCCTCCAAATCCTCAACTCCCGTCTTCGGACACAATGACAAAATGACAGACGCGTGCCCTAATGATTTTTTGTGTCTGAGCAATGTTGTCCATATCTCTATCAACTATTCTCCCTATGTTGAGTTGCTCATTCTTGAGCATCAGATACAATGCTAATGCTCTCTCAATAATCAAATCACACCCACTCCGATTTGTACTCAGAGTATGATGAATGAAGAAAGCCCGTGCCTTAGGAATTGAAGCCAAGTCCACCACAAGGATTTTAGAGGGGGTATTTTTTAATGTTCCCTGCAAACTCTTATCTGGCCTTGCCAACATTTCAAGCATCTCACAGAGAGGCCAGGAGGCCCGATTGAACATTCTCATTGTGTCAAAATGGTAACGAGATTCTCGTTACTTGCATTTGAGTGCATCGTTGATTGTCTGCCAATCATAACGAATTTCCTTGCCTCGAACCCGGTATACCAATTGAGTGACATCACTATCCTCGTCACTAGGATCACAATAAGCATTCGCATAAAATTCCATGACAAGTTCTTTAGCAACCAGTTGGATATTCTTATTCAAGTATGTAAGCTTCTGTTTCTTTAGAATCACAGTCACTTCCAGGAGTTCATCTTGATTCAAAACCCAAGATTTTTCCTCAATGACATTCTGAGTCATCAATTCTCTGAATTGCTCGGCATGAACCTCTGAACGGAACCTTTGATCTGCTTCAGCCATGGTTGTTAAGAATGGGGATGAAAAGGAGATAGAAATCTGCATATTGAAAAAAATCTACAGAGAACAAGGGTGATATGAAAAAAATAATATATAAAGCGGACAGAAAAGACGTTACTATTAGAGGGTAATTTAGTATTTTGTTAGTTAAAGATAAGTTTACAATTAGGGCCTATGTGGCATTATTATTTGTGTATAAATAGGTGTATTAGGATTACATTTATATCAATCAATTCCAATCATTTGTTGTCAGCCTTTTGCATTTATTCCCTTTCATCTTCTTCCTCAAATTCATCACCTTTGCACTAACAAATTGGTATCTAGAGCTCTTGGTTTGATTCTGAAACTCTGGGAAACACGAGTGATAGTGAGCTGTGTGTTTGATTTTTTGATTCTTGAACAAAAAATCTGAAACAGAATCACACTGATTCTGTGGGTTTGGGAAACACTGAGTGAGATCTGAGTTTTTCTGTGCAAAGGTTTAAGATGAATGGAGGCAGTAGTTTGAACACTAAACTTCCAGTTTTTGATGGCAAAAACTGGAACAGATGGAAGATTCAAATGCGTGTGCTGTTTGGTGCTCAGGATGTTCTGGACCTTGTTTCTGAAGGTTATGTTCCAGCTGCAGCTGATGCTACTGTAGAACAGAAATCAGAAGAAAAAGCTACAAGGAAGAGGGATCAGAAAGCACTGTTCTTCATCCATCAGTGTGTGGATGAAAATGTGTTTGAGAAGATTGTTGATTCGACGACGTCGAAAGGGGCATGGGATATTCTGACCAGATGTTATGGTGGTGACGTATCAGTAAAGAAGGTAAAGCTTCAGTCCCTGCGAAAACAATATGAAAATCTCAGCATGAAGAACAGTGAGAAAGTTTCTGAATACATTTCCAGATTGATTCTGATCACTAATGAAATGAAGGCTTGTGGAGAAACACTTTCTGAACAGGTAATCATAGAAAAGACTCTGAGGTCACTTACGCCTCAGTTTGATTATATCGTTGTTTCTATTGAACACTCTAAAGATCTGGAAACCATGAGAATAGAAGAGTTGCAAAGCAGTCTAGAAGCACAAGAGTTGCGTCTGACTGAAAGAACTTCTGAGAGGGAAGTGGAGCAAGCTCTGAAAGCTTCTTTTGTCAAGAAGGACCAGAAGCAGAATAGACATGGTGATAAATTCCAGAAGTCAGAAACCTCAACTTCTGATGAAAAGAAATATCAGAAGGGAAAAGAAAGGTATGACAAGAAGAAGGTTCAATGTTACTGCTGTAAACAGTTTGGGCATTTTGCCAGAGACTGTAGAAACAAAGGAAGGAAATCAGAAGAAGCAAATATAGCCAGAGAAGATTCTGATGATGAACCTGTGCTACTGATGGCTTCTGATTCTGATGGAAACTGTTCAGGAGATTGGTGGTATATGGACACTGGCTGTTCAAATCACTTGACTGGGAACAAACAATGGCTGACAGACTTTGACTCCAGAAGGAGAACAAAGATCAGATGTGCTGATGATAAGTACCTTAATGCAGAAGGTATGGGAAATGTCAGAGTCAGAGTGAAGAATGGAAGAAACATTCTGATCAAAGATGTCTGGTACGTTCCTGGAATTAAAAGCAATCTGATGAGTGTGGGTCAGCTTGTTGAGAAAGGTTTTTCAGTGGTTATGAAGGACAACCTCTTGACGTTGTACGATTCTAATCAGAAAATGATTATGAAGTCTGAGCAGGGAAGCAACAGAACATTCAAAGTGAATGTAGAAACCTCTGAAGCGGAGTGTCTCAGTGCAGAAGGCGCTGAAACAGACAGTAAGTTGTGGCACAAGAGGTTGGGGCACTTGAACTATAGAAGCTTAGGGCATCTAAGTTCTAAGAAGCTCGTACATGGCATTTCGAAGATTGTGAAGCCTCAGAAGTCATGTGAGATATGCATGAAAGGCAAGCAACCCAGATTGCCATTTGCGTCAGAAGTAGCCCCCAGAGCAAAGCATGCTCTGGGTGTAGTACATTCTGATGTGTGTGGACCATTTCCAGTACTTTCACTTGGAGGAAACAAATATTTCGTGTCTTTTGTGGATGAGTTCACAAGAATGACTTGGGTAAAACTCATCAAGTTCAAGCATGAAGTGTTTACAGAATTCCAGAAGTTCAAGGTGAAGGCTGAGAAGCAGAGTGGTCAGAAGCTGAAAATTCTGAGAACAGATGGTGGAGGTGAGTATAACTCTACAGAGTTCCAGAAGTTCTGTGAGGAGAATGGAATAGAACATGAGGTTACTGCTCCATATACTCCTCAGCACAATGGTCTCGCTGAAAGACGAAACAGAACTTTGCTTGATATGACCAGAAGTATGCTGAAAGAGAAGAAGTTACCTCACATGTTATGGGGAGAAGCTGTTGCCACATCAGCATATGTTCTGAACAGGTGTCCAACAAAGAAGCTGAAGGAAACTATTCCTTTAGAAAAATGGACTGGAGACAAGCAGAGTGTTAGCCATCTGAAAGTATTTGGTTCTGTGTGCTACAAACACATTCCAGAGGCTAGAAGACGAAAATTGGATGATAGAAGCAAAACAATGTTACTGGTGGGGTACCACAGTACAGGTGCCTACAAGCTTTATTGTCCAGAAACCAACAAAGTTGAAATCAGCAGAGACGTCGTTGTGAAAGAGTCAGAAACATGGGATTGGAACAAGCTTCAATCAGATTCTGGTGTAGTGCTAACACCAGGGTTAGTTTCTGAAGACGAGTCAGAGTCAGAAGAAGAAGACTCTGAAGATGAGTCAGAATCTCAGGGAGATTCTGATAGTGGATCTGATTCTGATCCAGATTCTGATGATGATCCAGAATATGGTGGTGATTTTACTTCTGGAAGGGAAAACTCTGAAGATATAGGGTCTGGAGAACAAATTTCCAGAAGTAACTCTGAAGGTGGTAATTCTGAAGGAAGTAGTTCTGGACAAGGTTCAGAAGCCAGTATTGTTCCGAATTCTGGAGAAGCTTCAGAACAAGACCAGAGGCCACAGAGAATCAGACGAATACCAAGTAAGTTTGCAGATTTTAGCATGTTGCATGATACTGAAGTAGATTCTGAAGGAGAAATTGTTCAGTGTGCCATGCTAGTAGATTCTGAACTAGTGGGTATTGAAGAAGCACTCAAGAAGAAAGTATGGCTGAATGCCATGAAAGAAGAACTTGAGGCAATTGAAAGAAACAAGACTTGGAAGCTGACAGAACTTCCAAAAGGCAAGAAAGCCATCAGCGTCAGATGGGTTTTCAAGCAGAAGCTAAAGCCAGATGGATCAATTGGCAAACATAAAGCGAGACTAGTGGCCAGAGGTTTTCTTCAGAAACCTGGACTAGATTATTTTGAGGTGTTTGCACCTGTAGCCAGACACGAAACAATCAGACTGGTGATTGCTTTAGCTGCAAACAGAAATTGGCCTTTGATACATCTGGATGTGAAGTCTGCATTTCTGAACGGTCCATTACAGGAAGAAGTTTATGTGTCACAACCTCCTGGATTTGTGAAAAAGAATCAGGAAGGGATGGTATACAGGTTAAGTAAAGCTCTGTATGGACTGAAGCAAGCGCCCAGAGCTTGGAATCTGAAGATTGATTCATTTTTCAAGGAACAAGGGTTTCAGAAGTGTGAGATGGAGTATGGTGTTTACGTTCAGCACACTTCAGAAGGTAATATGATTCTGGTCTGTTTGTATGTTGATGACATATTACTCACAGGAAGTTCTGAACGAGAAACAGCTGAGTTCAAGCAAATTCTGATGAAGGCGTTTGAGATGACAGATCTTGGAAAAATGAGTTTCTTTCTAGGGATGGAACTTATATACTCTGAGAAAGGAATCATTTTGCATCAGAAGAAGTATGAATTAGAGCTTCTGAAGAGATTTGAGCTAGCAAAATGCAAGATTGCTATCACACCTGCTGATACGAATCAGAAGTTAGACTCTGATTCTGATGGAGAGGATGTGGACGCTACAACCTTCAAACAGATGGTTGGTTCTCTGAGGTATTTATGCAATACCAGACCTGATATTTGTTATGCAGTTGGAATGGTCAGCAGATACATGAGCAAACCAAAGTGGTCCCATTACCAAGCTGCTGTCAGGATTCTGAGGTACATAAAAGGAACTCTGAAATATGGAGTGTTATTTCCCTCTGGAGGAAAGATCAAATCAGAACTTCTGAGTTATTCTGATTCTGATTGGTGTGGAGACAGAGTCGACAGAAGAAGCACTTCTGGGTATTTATTCAAGTTTCTGGGAGGCCCAATTTCTTGGTGTTCCAAGAAACAGCCTGTTGTGGCTCTGTCAACATGTGAAGCAGAATACATTGCTGGTGCTGTAGCCGCCTGTCAAGCAATTTGGCTTCTGAATCTGCTGCATGATCTGAAGGTTGAAGTTGAGGAACCTCTGAAGCTGATGATTGATAACAAGTCTGCAATTAATCTTGCAAAGAATCCAGTTCTACATGGCAGAAGCAAGCACATTGAGACGAAGTATCACTTTCTGAGAAGTCAAGTGCAGAAAGGAGTGTTAGAAGTTCTGCACTGTAGCACTCAGAAGCAGCTAGCAGATGTTCTGACCAAGGCAATAAAAACAGACCAATTTCTGCGTTTGAGAGATGAAATTGGTGTTGTTAACTTCTGATAAATTACTAAATTATGGGATGGTATTAGAGGGTAATTTAGTATTTTGTTAGTTAAAGATAAGTTTACAATTAGGGCCTATGTGGCATTATTATTTGTGTATAAATAGGTGTATTAGGATTACATTTATATCAATCAATTCCAATCATTTGTTGTCAGCCTTTTGCATTTATTCCCTTTCATCTTCTTCCTCAAATTCATCACCTTTGCACTAACAGTTACGCGTACGATACATCGGTGTTATGCATAATCTCTAGGAATTACGTATAAGATACGCCCCGTTTCGTGTTTAAAAAGCTTCAGATGTCGTACAAATCACGTAACGCCTTCTTACGCGTACAGTAACCGTATTACCCCTTCATTACGCGTAACTGGATCACGTATGTG